AAAAAAAAAAAAAAAAACCACAGGCTGCAGGGTTTTATTTGACTCAAAAGTGTGCTGGCTAAACCCATCTGCCCTGGATCTGTTGGATTCATAGCAACTTTACTTCCTCATCCCCATTATGTCTCCTTTATTCTTGCCACATAATTTGTGGGAAAGAGAAGATAAGAGAACTTGAAACTTTGTGCATTTTCCTTGTGGTATTTCAGTTGGAATGGATAGAGAGGAGATGGCCCCGTCCAGTTCCCTGTTTCTTCCTCCCCATGGCTAGAAATCCTTTCCACTTGTATGAAACAACACATAAGATCCCGTGTCTGCTAAACAGCCAACCATCGCCGAGGGCAGTAGAGATCAGTAAAGGATTAATTTGAGATCTTGATTATTGGGCAGTGGGCTTGGTTGTACATTGCCTTCTAGAGCTGTACCTAGGACCTTCTTTGAGAGTACTTTGCTCTTGACCTTTGTTTTTTACTTCCAACATCAACCTAAGCTGACAATCCCTGCAACGGCTCCTGTGTTTGGGAGACTGCTACGTTTTTTCCCTTGGCCTTACCTCACACCTCAGGGTCACTTAAAGGGGAAGGGGGCTTGGAGATGGCTCTGTCTTTGTTTCTCTTTTACAGACTCAAGAGTTGTCTTGGGGAAGGGAAATCAGAGATTCTAGGTGAGCTGAAGGCCTTTTTTTTTTTCCCGAAAACAACTCATCCCCAGGCCCTGGTAGGAAGTTTCCCTCTTTTTATTTATCAGCAAATGTGGCAGGACTTTATCTCCTTTTTTCTGGCATCTTAAAGTAAAACCTTGGCCCCACCCTGCATCTTCATCACTAAGGATTTGGGGTGTTTTTTGTGTGTTTGTTTTAAGTAAATCTCCCCACACCACCTACTTTTAGCCACTTGGCTGGTTCTCTGGGCCTCAAAAACATTTGGTGACAATGACAAACCTTTATATATTTTACCCTCTTAAATTTTGCTTTTTTACCTCCGGTATCTTTTCTACTTCTTGGGTACAAAGAAATTTTGTGAAGAGCTGGGATAAATTTGGAGGTATATGTTGATCCTGGTGACAAGTGGAAATGTACTTTACCTTCAATGGAGAGCATTCTTACAAATATGTAGTTTAGGAATATAAATACAACACTTCTTCAACAAAAGCTTTAGCTAACTGGTGATGTTCTAAAAGTGGAGTAAAGCTGAGAATTTCCCAAAATGTGATTAATGGTCTAGGATACCCATTACTGAGGATTGCCTTTTCCCTGGACTTCTGTGAAATCTGCTGGCATTATTTTCTAAACAGTTATTTCTTCTTTGGTCAGAGAAAATCTGGTAAGACGGGTCTTTTCTTGGCTTTTTATTAGACCCTTTTCTCCACTCTATATTAAAGGCCTCTTTGGCTCTCCAAGTGATGTACCCTGGAGAGAAAACGGGAACTCTGCTATCAAACATAATGCATTAGGACTGTTCTGGTCGCTGAAAGGCAGCACGGCATGGCATAACACAGGCTTTGGATTCGGATTGACTGAGGCTTGACTTCTCTGAGGGTTTTCTGTGTTTTAAAGAGAGCATGAAAAGAGCTATTACTTGTCAGGGTTCTTGGAATTAAATGATAGTGAAGGCATCACACTTGGCACATAGTGGGTGTTTGGTGATATTCTGGGTGGAAGGTAAGAGAAGTTTTAGAGATAGATGTTTCCCAGGCAGACTAGTGGGTTAAAATTCCCCGAGGCTGAGACATGGTGGTCACAGACCAGAAATTGTAAAAGAACAGATCATTAATGCATTAGTCTTAACTAGCTTGCTATTCCTTGCTAGCTGGCTGGCTTGTTTGCTACAAGGAGAAAAATGTAATAACTCCTGACATTCCTTCCTTCCTCCACTGCAACACAAGTTACATAGGTGATGATGTAGTCGTTGATTGATGGGTATCCCATGAGCCCTCAGTTCACGGCATTGCATACAGTAAGTCAGTGCATGTTTGAGGGATGAGTGCTGGAAGTTGCCGTAACAGTGTAGCCTACTTATTCTACCATCCCTCTAGTATCTGACAAAAGAGGACAAGGTACAATGATCAAAGAATGTATGTGTCAGTAAATTTATCCTTTGGAGTTTTAAGTCAATACAGTGATTGATGCATTCTTAATTCAATACTGAGCACCTACCATTTTGTTACCTGCAATGTAACATTCCCAACCCTTTTGGTGCAAAGCCATGGGGAAAGTTCTGCTTGTCACACTTTTTGAACGCCATTTTAAAATCCTCTCTGCCTTTTCCCAGCCCTCCACACCACCCCTCCCACACACAAGTAATTTTCCTGTTCCACAGTCTTGTCTGTTTCTTTTTTTATTTCAGGGTGTCTTAACATACCAGGAGAGGGAGCCAAGATCCAGAGTGATGCCTGTGACTCAAATCAACTGCTGCCTTCCCCAGAAAGAACCTCTGGCCTCTGGAAACCTAGATTTAACAGCTTTCTCTGACAGCTCTTCCTCCACAACTCTTGATTCCATCACCATTGGAAAATTGAGAACCATCTAACCATCCCCACCCTCAGGTGAGGGGACAAAGGGGAGTTACTGAGAACCTTACAGCTGCTCCTAAGTCCATTTCCCCTCATACTTTACCACAAATGTGACCGTGTTTCAATTTTTACTGTATAAAATAAACCAAATATACCCAGTCCTCTGTCCTAGATATCACAGGGAGTAAGAAGAGATTAAAGGAAGTGGAGAGCTAGGATGGGAGTGAGAGGCAAGGTCTTGTGTAGGAAACAGAAAGCTAAGATTCTAGGGTCAGGTGCCTCTTTCTGAAGTGATGGAGTATACTGGAAGTAAATTCTATTGTCAGAGATAGCATGGTGTGGTAGAAGAGTGTAAAACTTGGATTCAAGGGGCGCCTGGGTGGCTCAGTCAGTTAAGCGGCCGACTTTGGCTCAGGTCATGATCTCACGGTCTGTGAGTTTGAGCCCCTGTCGGGTTCTGTGATGACAGCTCAGCCTGGAGCCTGTTTCGGATTCTGTGTCTCCCTTTCTCTGACCCTCCCCCGTTCATGCTCTGTCTCTCTCTGTCTCAAAAATAAATAAACGTTAAAAAAAAAAACAAACTTGGATTCAAAATCTAGTATCAGCACTTACTGTTTGACCTTAAGTCATTTATTTTCTCTGACCTTAAATTCTTTCATCTGTAAAATTAAGAGGTCGCTAAGGTCCCTCTTAAGCAATAGGACTATTTAGAAATTGCAAGTGCCCTCTGTAGATTCTTTGGTCCAGCCCCAAAGCTATTAAATTTATTTATTCTAACGGTATGTCGCTATTATAGCCCATTACTGAGTACCACTCATGATTTACATGAAACTAACCTCGACAATTGGGAGTGTTACTATTATTATACCCATTTTGTTTTTTTAAGATTAAAAAAAATTTTTTTAATGTTTATTTTGAGGGAGAGGGAGAGGGAGAGCACAAGCCACAGAGGGGCAAAGAGAGAGGGAGACAGAGAATCCCAACCAGGCTCCATGCCAATCAGCGCAGAGCCCTCTGCTACGATCAGCCCCAAGGAACCAAGAGATCATGACCTGAGCAGAAATCAAGAGTTGGACGCTTAACCTACTGAGCGACCCAGGCGTCCCTAGATTTTTAAAGTAATCTCTATGCCCAAAGTGGGGGCTCCAACTCACAACCCCAAGATCAAAAGTCTCACGCTCCACTGACTGAGCCAGCCAGGAGCCTCTATTGCTATTTTATATATGAGAAAATCGAAGTTTAGAAGAAACGGAGTAATCCACCTAAAATTATATTGTGAATGGCAGGTCCAGGATTTAACACTTGGTTCCAACGTCTATCCCCCTGCTTTCTACCTGCCAGTAAAGACGATATAAAAGAAAACCTATGGTTAAAAGGAAATGACTAGCTACCCTTTCCCCTCCGTTTTTCTCCCACTCTCATTTCTCATGAGTTTTCACTCCCCTTTCCTCCACGCTGCAGAATATGCTCTTGCTACCCATAGCTGAAACTGCAAGTTTCGGGATTGGGAGTGTGTGTAACAGTTTCGGTCTTCCGGCCAGCCGGAACCACCCACACCACCGCTCAAGCAGTGTGGGGCGGACCACTTCGGAGCTCCTGGAGGTGGTCTCGGATTAGAGTGGCAGCTGCCGTAGCCAATGGGCTTGGGCGTCATTGGGCCGGAAACCTATGAGAAATCCGGTGAAGGAGTCGAGGATAATTTGTTTAAGGATGTAGGTACGGGTTTGAAGGAACATGGCCCTGTGTCAGAGGTGGCGGCGGCTCCGGTTGCCGGGCTTGCAAACCTGCCGGCTACACACGGTGCGTGAGGTACCCACCCAAAAGTTAAGAACCGCATCGGACCCAGACCAGGCCCAAAGTGCAGGCTCCCGACCCCTGCCTTGAGCCCCTGAATCCGGCCCCGCTAAGCCGTTAGTTACAGCCATCTTTTCCCTAGAGTCGACCACCAGGAGAGGCTAGGGCTCCTAGTCTAGAGCCCTGTATCACCCAGCCCTCTTAAAGGCCTGGGTTTAGGATTAAGGCCACTTCGGTACCCTCACCTCCTACCAGCCTCAATCCCAGGAAGGAATGATGGGACCTGAGTTACCTCCTAACATCTTTCTCTCCAGGCAGCTGTGCCAGCCCCTCCACAGTGGTTGGCAGAGCGGCTCGGCCTTTTTGAGGAGCTATGGACTGCTCAAGTAAAGAAGTTAGCAAGCGTGGCACAGAAGGAGCACCGGACTATTAAGATATCACTTCCTGGAGGCCAGAGGGTGGATGCTGTGGCATGGAGCACAACCCCTTACCAGCTAGCCCAGCAGATCAGGTACCAGCCCATTTTGTACCTACCAGGATCATCCTTCAACCTCTGTATTTCGCTGGACTCGAGCAGAGAATGAAAATTATGCCTGGTATCTATTCCATCTCTATCAAGATCGCCTTTTCATGAGAATTCATTTTCATCTGGGTTAGTTTCAGAGTCTCTACCCTTTGTTTATTATCCATTGGGAAAAGAAATGATAGGTTTTATTGCTCTGGTGACACCTTTCCCCATTTGCAAGCTTAGAACTATTGAGAGATTAGTCCCTGTCTTCCCCTGTGGACTGTGACCATGTCTTTTTCTTTGTCCTCACTTCCCCCCCCCACTCCCAATTCCCAAGTTCAACATTGGCAGATACTGCAGTGGCTGCTCAAGTGAATGGAGAACTTTATGATCTGGAACGGCCTTTGGAGACAGATTCTGACCTCAGATTTCTGACATTCAGTTCTGCAGAGGGCAAAGCAGTAAGTTTCTTCCTTTTCAGGAATACAGTGACAACTAAACTAAGGGATTTTTAAGTGGGCATATTTCTAGTATTTCTTTTGCCTCAGTTTCTCCCTTTGCAGTTGGGAGGGAGACCTACCACAGACTGCTTGTCTTGACTAACCCTGGATAAGCTAGAAACTTAGGATGAAAATTTTCAACATAGGTCCATTAAGTAAACATCGTTTGCACTAGTAAAAAGGAAAGCTGAAAATAGAAGGGTAATATGCCAGTTCTGTCACTTCAACCCTAGAGACATACATCATAAGTCATCTGTAACATATATTTTTTTATAAAATTTTTTTAATGTTTGTTTACTTGTGAGAGAGACAGAGACAGAGGTGTGAGCGGGGCAGGGGCGACAGAGGTTCGAGAGAGAGGGAGGTTCGAAAGAGAGGGAGACACAGAATCTGAAGCAGGCTCCAGGCTCCGAGCTGTCAGCACATAGCCCGATTCGGGGCTCCAACCCACAGACTGTGAGATCATGATCTGAGTCAAAGTCGGACGCTTAACTGACTGAGCCACCCAGGCACCTCTATGGCATATATTTTTTAATTCTAACTTGGCTTCCACAACTGAGCACACAATTCCTCCTCCCTACTTTGTCTTCTTCATGTCAGCTTGGGTAATATAGACCTCATCTACTAGGATCCAGAAAAATGGAGTTTTATCATGTTCATCTAAATGGTGACCAAAGGGGCGCCTTGGTGGCTCAGTGGGTTGAGCGTCTAAGTCTTGGTTTCAGTTCAGGTCATGATCTCCTGGTTTGTGAGATTAACCCCTGTGTCCGGCCCTGCACGGACACCATGGAGCCTGCTTGGGATTCTCTGTCTCTCTCTCTGCTCTTTCCTACTAGCACACACATACACACACTCTCTCTCAAAATAAATAAACAACAAATAAATAAATGGTGACCAAATCCTAGAGGAGCGGTTGCATCACACTAGATTCCTGGAATAGAGAAAAATAGAACTAAAAGATCAAATAGAGCCCTTAGGAACTATGGTCTTGAGAAGGTAGTTTACTCTGAAGCCCTAAAAGGGGATGTTATAGGAGCAGAAAAAGAAGCCTAGGCCCTGCTTCTATGCTGTAGGACCAGGAAGCACTGAGGAGTGGGAGTGGGGGTTACCCCTGTCTGCGCATGTTTCTACTAGCCTTTTGTTTTGTTTTTCCTCCTTTTTACTGTTTAGTTAGTATTCACCTCCAAGGTCAGATTCCCCATCTTGTGATAGTTATTTCTAGAAGAGCCATACTGGTTTCACGCCAGCTTCTCTGAGAAGAGTATCAGAGAGTGAGGGGTTAAAGAAGGAGGTTATGAAAAAAAATAAAATAAAAAAACAAAGGCGGTGGTTATGAACTCCTTTCTTGTGAACCCAGGTGTTCTGGCACTCCAGCACCCATGTCCTGGGAGCAGCAGCTGAACAGCTCCTTGGTGCTGTCCTCTGCCGAGGTCCAAGTACAGAATGTGGCTTCTACCATGATTTCTTCCTGGGAAAGGAACGGTGAGTAGTGCAAGCAAAGAGGAGAATGATTCTGGAGTAGTTTCTTAGATATTTCACCATATTTTATTTCATTTGTCAGGTTTTTGGCATTTAATTGACAAAGTAATATATTAAAAGTGTACAACATGAGGGGCGCCTGGCTCAGTCAGAAGAGCGTGCGACTCTTCATCTCAGGGTCGTGAATTCAAGCCCCATGTTGGTTGCAGAGAATTACTTAAACTTTTTTTTAAATGTTTGTTTATTTTTGAGAGAGACAGAGACAGAGCATGAGTGGAGGAGGGGCAGAGAGAGAGGGAGACAGAATCTGAAACAGGTTCCAGGTTCCAAGCTTTCAGCACAGAGCCCGATGCAGGGCTCAAACCCACAGACCTCAAGATCGTGACCTGAGCTGAAGTTGGATGCATAACTGATTGAGCCACCCAGGCGCTCCTTAAATAAACTTTTAAAAATAAAAAAAGTGAACAAGCTGATAATTTGATATTTATATTCATTGTGAAAGGATTCCCACGATTGAGTTAAATAGTACATTCATCACCTCACTTCATGTGTGTGATTGCTTAAGGTTTACTCTTAGCAAATTTCATTCGTACTGTATAGAATTATCAACTATAGTCACTATGTTCTACATTATCTTCTCAAACCTAATTCATTTTATACTGAGTTTGTACCGTTTCACCCGAGTGGTTTCTGCATCCTCTTCTGGGGCGTCAGGGATGTTCAATTTGGAAGAGAAAGTTTAGAGAAGGGCCTCTCCAGGCCTTTGCTGTGACATTGGTGCCAATTTCTCCCCTAGTCCATGCTTTTCCTTTTCTGTCTAATTCTCATTGAAACTTCTCTAGTCTTTATGAATTCTTTGGCTTTTTTTTTTTTACTTCATCCTTCATTACTATTGCCTTAATTATGTCTGTCCATATTGTCTGCATCCGACCTTTAACATATAGAGCTTTTGCTCCCACTGTAAAACTTATACCTGATTTCCTATTTATGTTTTCTGTCAGTTTGTCTGCCTTTACCAATAATTCTAGATGTCTGTGGAGAGCAGGATTTCACCCCCTAGCCAACAGGTGTGGCACCCAGGTGATGCTTCTTAAAGGATGAACGCCAACCAGTTCTCACCTTTCCAGGACAGTCCGGGGCTCAGAGCTGCCTGCTTTGGAGCGGATTTGCCAGGAACTTACAGCTGCTGCTCAACCCTTCCGGAGGCTAGAGGCTTCCCAGGATCAGCTTCGCCAGCTCTTCAAGGTGGGGTGGGGGTGCACACATTTAGGAGGACGATCCAAAAGCATGGGGGAAGGGGTGATTGTCTCCCAGGACATCTTTTTTTTCTTTTTAACTTTTATTTTTTTAATGTTTATTTATTTTTGAGAGGGTTAGCACAAGCAGAGAGAGGGGAGGGGCAGACAGAGAGAGGGAGACACAGAATCTGAAGCAGCCTCCTGGCTCTGAGCTGTCAGCAGAGAGCCTGACGTGGGGCTCAAACTCTCGAACCGCAAGATCATGACCTGAGCTGAAGTTGGACACTCGACTGACTGAGCCACCCAGACACCCCTCTCCCAGAACATCTTTATGGGAATAGAGACTTATCCTCACTCTTCTCCCCTTCCAGGATAACCCCTTTAAGCTTCGCCTGATTGAGGAGAAAGTGACAGGTCCAACAGCAATAGTATATGGGTGAGCGTTGTCAAAATGGAGGGAAACGGGGAGGTAGGTATACACAAAAGAAGGCCAGAAATGGGATGAGGGAAAGAAGGTAGAAGGTAGTCTGTTGTTCCAGAAAAATAATGGGAACAAGAAGTTATTTTTATCTCCCATTGCTCTTGCTGTCTCTGTAGAACAGTTCTTACATTTTTTTTCTGTCTGCTAGAGGCCAGGAGAACACCGGAAGCTCAAGAATTTGGAGACCACTAAGTGTTCCCTCCTTTCCCCCAGGTGTGGCATGCTGGTAGACCTCTGCCGGGGCCCCCACCTTCGGCATACTGGACAAATTGGAGGACTGAAGCTGCTGACGGTCAGTTGTGAGGGCAAGGTTAGGTTAAGACTCCTGCTTTCACTGGGATGAGCAGGGGAGTAGGAAGATGCTCTCTCAGCCCCTTCTCTCCTCTTATAGCTAAGGGAGGAATCCAGTAGGAGGAAGATTTCTTAGTTCCTGCCTTCCACAAACTCCCAGTGTGATGGCAGCTGCTGGACATCCTGCCGGGGCTCAGAAGCCAATTCACAATCCGTAGTTGGACCTCAGTGCTAGGGAGGTGGAGAGGGAGTGTGAGAACAGTCTGGACAGGGTCACATAGGGGAGGCTGCTGTGGAGAGGGTGTGTAGAACCCCACTGCGCAGGTACAGGGAGAGTATTCTAAGTTTAAGGCATGACTTTTATGAAAATCCTGTGCCTGGGCCAGGTGAGTTATTTGTTTGGTGGAATGGGAGCAGGGAGCGAGGGGAGAGGCAGGAATGTGCAGCCAAAAGCCCTGGACTAAAAACCTCTCATCCGTGCTTAGTCCTGGCTCTGCCATAGGTAAAGTATGTGGCCTTGGGTAAATCTCCTTACCCATTTTCCCCATCTATAAAATAAGACTGTTGTTAATTCCTGTCCTACCAATAAATCCATGTCACAGAGACAAAGTCAATTAACACAGGTGAAAGTGGTATAAAACGCTGGCTGTTTCTTGTTAAATTGTTTGAGGAAAGAGTAGGCAGAAGCATTTGAATTTCATGTGGCCAGGAATAGGGCATAGTGGAGATTGATAAGCAGGTAGATAGAAACAAGAACAACAACAACTGACATTTGACCAGAGCGGAAGGTTACTCCCATGAGTAGTCATTGATTAGAGGTGGGGAAGGAGGGCTCTAGTACAGAGAGAATGTACTGGTGGGAGAATGGGGAGAAAAAGAGGTGGCAGGATAAGGTTAGGCTTGAACAGGATACAAATGGGAATTAAGCATCCAGTGTGTCTAAGGCTGTAAACATGGCAGGGGTTCTGAGGGGTATCACGCTGGTGGAGGCAGTGGAAAATGGAGTGAGTGCTGAGACAGAACATTTGTGGTGCGTGTCGTGTGCTCAGAATCAGACGAGCATCAGCGAAGGAGAGCTTGGGTGCCCGCAGTCCCTCATCTTCCCTTTGACTCCCTCTGTTTTCCCATAGAACTCGTCATCCCTGTGGAGGTCTTCAGGTGCCCCAGAGCCACTGCAGCGAGTGTCAGGGATCTCCTTCCCCACAATGGAGGAGTTGAGAGCCTGGGAAGAAGGGAGGGAGGAAGCGGAGTTACGGGACCACCGGCGCATTGGGAAGGTACAGAGATTGGAGAAGGAGAGGGTGCGTGAAGGAACCCAATTGTGAAGCTGGGAGCAGATTCTGAATCCAGCAGATTGAGCAGCTCCATCAGTTATTTCTTCTGGGTTCCAAAGTCCTTGCTTCTCTCTCCAAGTGACATTGCCATTCCTGACTCAGGCACAGGAGCTCTTCTTCTTCCATGAACTGAGCCCCGGGAGCTGTTTCTTCCTGCCTCGAGGGACGAGGGTGTATAATGCACTGGTGGCTTTCATCAGGGTAAGGGGGCCTCCAGTCCAGAGGAGGGATGACCAGAGAGGAAATCGGGACCCAGAAGCCAAGTGTTAGAAGAGCGGGATTAGAAGCACGAACATAAACATTATAAGGTGCTGGTGGCCTTTAACAAGGTCCTAGGAATGTGTGGTCCACAGAGTGGGGAGCGTAGAGAGGGAACACGGTACTTAATAGGTTGTAGCCGAGATCAGCCTGACCTGAGGTCCCCGGAGGATCACACACCTGCCTCTCCCCCACTCTGCCTTCCATATTTGTGCCGTCCTCCCCCAGTCACTCTGCCTTCCATATCCTGTGCCCTCCTCTCCAGGCCGAGTACACCCGCCGTGGTTTTTCTGAGGTGAAAACCCCCATACTGTTTTCTACGAAGCTCTGGGAGGTGTCAGGACACTGGGAGCATTATCAGGAGGATATGTTTGCCCTGCAGCCCCCAGACTCTGACAGGCTCTCCAGCTCCCTGAGTGACCACGCTACTAGCCATCCTGCAGACACACTCGCCCTGAAGCCCATGAACTGCCCTGCACACTGGTGAGCTAGGAGCCAAGAGGCCTGGGTCCTCCCAGGGCTGGGGGTAGGCAACCAGGTTGCTGAATATGAAGTAATAGCGCCTTGGCAGAGCAGTAGGACACCTGATTGGAGTCTTAAATCTGCACTCCAGATAACCTTGTGAATTTGGGAAAACCATTGTGTCTCTCTGAGCCTTAGTCTCCTTGTATAACATCAGGGGTTTGGAGTTGCTGTCCAAAGTTCCTCTTTCACTTCAGTGCCTGTCACACAATAGGGGCACAGTAAACGAAGTCTGCTGCTATTGTTCTGAGAAATGCACTTTGAACCAGGAAGGGCTCAAACTGTGCTGAGTGGGATGGACAGGACTTGGGGGGAGGACATGCCCAGGCTGGGGAGAGGGCGTGCTGATGACGCAGAGAAAGTAAGCAAGCACACTGGGCAGAGATGCAGTCTGTGGGGGCTGCTTTTCCCTGTGGCCCTGACCCTTCCTCATCCCCATCTCAGCCTGATGTTCGCTCACCGGCCCAGATCCTGGCGAGAGCTGCCCCTGCGCCTGGCGGACTTCGGGGCCCTACACCGGGCCGAGGCCTCTGGCAGTCTGGGGGGACTGACCCGGCTGCGGTGCTTCCAGCAGGATGACGCTCACATCTTCTGTGCACCGGATCAGGTGGCCCTTCCCCAGCTCCACCAAAGCATTTCTAAACCACCTTCCATTCTCCATTTGAACTGCCAACACTCCTGCTCCCTGTCTCCCTCTTTATATACTACAACTCAGTTATATGATAGCCCCAGCTTTCCTCTATGTTTTTGCCCTGTGTTTCCCCCAAAACTCCCATCACTCCAGAACTCTAGGTTGCACACAACTCACTCACCCTTATTTTCTGTCCCCAGCTTGAAACAGAGATACAAGGCTGTCTTGATTTCCTCCGCTCTGTTTACACTGTCCTTGGCTTCTCCTTCCGCCTGGCTCTATCCACCCGGCCATCTAGCTTCCTGGGCGAGCCTTGCCTTTGGGACCAGGCTGAGCAGGTGAGGAGGCAGATAAACCACTCTCTGATGGCAGAAGAGGGGAGATGGGAATTGGGGTCCTCAATAGAGGCATGTGCCAAGCAGGTCATTTGTTGGGGGACTGGAGGGGTCTGTTGCTTATAAAGTCTAAAATGATACATTCCTCTCTCGTCTCATTCCCTTTAAAGGTCCTTCAACGGGCCCTGGAAGAATTTGGAGAACCCTGGGAACTCAACCCTGGAGATGGTGCCTTCTATGGGCCTAAAGTAAGTTGGGGATCCTCCTAAGAGTTGTATTTATTCATTTTTTGTTTTGTTTTATTAGGTATTTAATAGACACAAAGGAATATTTTTTAACTTGTATAGGATAGAAAGAAGAGCAATATATTTCCTGGCCCCGTGGAGCTTATGGTCCTGTGAGGTGTGTGGGAGGCAAATAGGCATTTCAGGGCCACTGAACCCGCGCTCGCAGGTACCAAGGGAGCATATCATTCAGGAGGGAGGGTCAGGAAAGGCTTCCTGCAGGATTCTCTTTCTTTACCTTTTTTTTTTTTTTTTTTTTTTTTTTTTTTTTTTTTTTTTGAGAGAGAGAGAGAGGGAGAATCCCGTGAGGGGAAGAGAGAGAAGCAGGGCTTACCCAGGGCTCATGTTTTCCCTGAAGTGGGGCTCGGGCTCCCCCGATGTAGGACTCGAACTCATCAACTGTGAGATGATGACCCGAGCTGAAGTTGGATGCTTAAAGACTGAGCTCCCCAGGTGCCCCTGCAGAATTCTCTTTCTAATCTTAAAGGTCATTGTTGGCCAAGGAAAGAGGGGTTCCAGGTGGGAACAGTGCAGGCAGAAGGTGGAGGCAGGGTAAACAGGGCAAGTTGGAAGAAGTAAAACAAGTCAGGGGGAAAAAAGGACTGGAAAGTGTCTACTGGATTCCATGAAAAGGCTGTTAGATGTTGAAGCACCATTTCTGGTACAGAGGCTGGGGTGGGAGTCAGAGGTAAATGAATGAACATAACTCTTTTGAGAATTTTGGCTCTTAAAAAGCAAAGGAGAGTAGCAAGAGGGGCCTGGATAGTCAAAAGAGATTTTGATGAAGAGAGAAATTCAAGAATGTTTAGCTCTGATAAAAGAGAGCGTGTTTGAGTCAGGGAAAAATTGAAGTTGTAGAAGGGGTTTCAGTGGAGGGAAGTTCTTGGGGAGGTTTGAGGGGTGGGATTGAGAGCCCACAAGAGACCACCTCTGCCATTGTTCTGGAGGCAGGAAGAAAGGCTGGAAGCATATGCAAGGAAGTCTATAAGTGTGGTGACAGGAAGTTGAGACACTTTTCATCTCATGATGTCATTATCTGATTTCCCCATAAAATGTGAAACAGGATCATTTGCTGAGATGGGAGTAGGGAAGAGGGGAGTTGTTAGTGGGGGCAGTGAAGATAGGAAGAGAGAGGAGAAAGCTTGAAAGTCCTTGAGGAGAACAGGACCCAAAACTGATTAGGGCAGCAGGGGATTACCGACAGCAGTCAGGGTCCACTTGAGGTTCAGAACAGGGATTTGCATGGCGGCATCAATCCCCGTTTATGTATCTGTTGTGGTATGGGACATGCTGGGCAGCTCTGAGCAGTTCTGTTGCAGGGGCAAGGAGGTGGGGGGCAGGAGTGCCACCAGGTTGAGGATTTGCCATGGGGATGTGACAGAAGAACAGTGATAGAGGGGAACCTGGGAAAGTGGTTCCAGCCGCATGGGGAAAGAAAGAAAGGTGGATGGAGCCTGTGAATGGGAAGGAAATAGAGGAATTAAGCAACCTGGAAATTAAAGAGCCATTTGTAGGAATAATTGTCAGAGCCAGAAAACCAAGAGACAGTAATCAGAGCAGGGTGTGTGATGGACTGTTCCAGAGGTGTAGCCATTCTGGGCGATGACAAGATGAAGGCTGTATCCATAGGGTGGGTGCAGGTGAACATCCCGGAAATGACGAACTCAAGGAATTCAGAGGCCAGGGTGTGGGTGGGTCATTTGTGTCAAAGTCCCCTAAGGTCATAATATCATTATCAGGTAGAAAGAGCTACTGCTGGGGTGTCCAGTGAGTGAAGTAAGAGTACAACAGAGCTGGGTGAGGAGTCTCTCAGAACAGCCTGGCACGTAGGCAGGTGGAAGGTGGGTGGTGCGGACAGTAGAGGGTACTGCTTCTGGTTGCTTTTAGGCCTCTGTCTCTCTCCTCCAGATTGATGTGCACCTCCGCGATGCCCTGGGCCGGCCCCATCAGTGTGGGACAATCCAACTTGACTTCCAGCTGCCCCTGAGATTTGACCTCCAGTACAAGGGGTACAGAACCGTGCTCATCCCCTTTTCCCTTGGCTGCTAGTGGAGTAGGTGGAGAACAGCGTCTCCTTCTATCTTTGTCCCTAACGTGAAACTCAAATCCTCTACACCTTCACCAGAGCTGAATATTGCTTAAAAACCAGAAGGTAATCTTGTGTGCATATCTTGTGACACTTCCTCTATTCCCTCCTCCTTTTTCCCTCCAAGGCAGGCGGGGGCCCCAGAGCGTCCAGTCGTCATTCACCGAGCAGTGCTAGGTTCTGTGGAAAGGATGTTGGGAGTGCTAGCGGAAAGCTGTGGTGGAAAATGGTGAGAACTCTGGCCCCAGATTTCTGTTCTGGTCCTCAGACCAGATGGTACATGCCCCAGATCCTGGTGCCCTTAGATTCACTTTTCTCTTTTCCTCTCGAATCTGCTCTCTGCAGCCATATTTGTAGTCGAGCTAGAGTAAAGAGTTTGCCTTCCTCTCTTCTCTCTCAACCAGGCCACTGTGGCTGTCCCCGTTCCAGGTGGTGGTCATCCCTGTGGGAACTGAGCAAGAGGAATATGCCAGGGAGGTGAGGAGAAACTGGGGGTGCATGCACAGGGGCTAACGCAGGACTACGGCGAGTCCGGGGCTGAGCAGTGGGTAGGAAGAAGTCACACAGCACAGTAGAAGGGGAATAGCACTTGGAGCCACAGGACTGGGCTCGAATGGGTCCTGACATATATGCTGGATATTCCACATCTGAGAAGTGACACTAGTTCCTTGCCTCGTGTGTGAAAATTAAACAAATTCACAGATGTTAAATGCTGACAATAGAGCACTTGATACAAAAGGGGCTTAGGTAAACGTCAGCTGCATGTTTCCTTTCTAGAGGAAGGGTGTGGACAGTACAGAGTCAAGTAGCTGGTTGGGTAGAGCAGGCAAAGCAGGCAAAGTCCGGGAATTGGTGGCAGGTGCAGCTTCAGTAGGAAGCAGACAAACTATGAGGGACTGGGGAGGGGCCTCGGTGCAGAGATGAATGAGGAGGGGTTGTCCACAAGAACCAGAGAGCCTTGAGGCAGAGGACAGAAGACAGCATGGGGAAGATTGGTATCAGGCTACTCTAGCCCCTGAGCCTTCAGTCCCGTCCTCAAACCCCTGCCCCAGGCGCAGCGGAGGCTGCAGGCTGCAGGGCTGGTCTGCGACCTGGATGCCGACTCGGGGCTGACGCTCAGCCGGAGAGTCCGCCGGGCTCAGCTCGCCCACTACAATTTTCAGTTTGGTAAGTGACCAGCAGCACAGGCCCTCCGAGCCCCGTGCTCCCCCACCAGCCTTCTACACTGTTCTTTCCTATTGGATTTGCATTAACTAGGGCTCAGTCCCTGAGCGAGACTTTCAGGGAGCCAGGATTCAGAACACCTGAGCTGTTTGGGCCCTCAGTTCCTTCACCCCCTGACAACCAGTTCTCATCCTCAGAAGAACTTTCTTTTTCTTTTTAAAAAAATTTTTTAAATGTTTATTTCTGAAGGAGAGAGAGAGAGAGAGAGACAGAGCATGAGCAGGGGAGGGGCAGAAAGAGAGGGAGACACAGAATCCAAAACAGGCTTCAGGCTTTGAGCTGTCAGCATAGAGCCCAATGTGGGGCTCGAACCCACAAACCATGAGATCATGACCTGAGCCAAAGTCGGACACTTAACTGGATGAGCCACCCAGGCTTCCCATTTCTTCTTTTCTTTCTACCACTAATTTATTCTTTGAATTTGTGCAAGTCATAGAAGATCACATCATAAGCATGAAAAGCACTTTCTTACCTAGTGCAGAATAATATTCTCAACAAAACAAAAAAAGTACAAAATCACAGACGTGAGAAAACATTCGATGAGATTTGGGTTATTGCAACATATGTTAGAAAGTGAATACCTTCAAGAGTAAGGCTAAGGTTTTTGTGTAGCTAGCCAAAGTGTTTGAATTTTACCTGTTGGGCCCGTATTTTCAGACATCTCTGCTAAAGTTCCCCCTTAAGACTGAACTGAGATCATGTGAACTACATTCACCCTGGGGAAATTGCCCAAGGTTCAGAGTATTTTGATGCAAAGATAGCATTTCTTTTCAGACTCACGTTTTATTCTTAAATTTTTGTATATTTTGTCACTCCTGATTATATACATAGCAACTTTAATATTCTTTATTTTTTTAATGAAATTAAAAATTTGTCTTAATTGAAGTATAGTTGACACACAATGTGTCACTTCTATACATTACTCAGTGCTCATCACAATAAATGTAGCTACCATCTGTCACCATACAATGTTATTAGAATATTATTGACTATATTCTCTATGCTGTACTTTTCATCCCTATGACTCACTTATTTTATAATTGCAAGTTTGTACCTCTAGTCCCCTTCACCTATGCCTTCCATCCCCCCAACCTGTCCACCCTAGCAGCCACCACTTTTTTGTTCTCTGTATTTATGAGATTGTTTCTTTTGGGGATGTGCATGTGTGTGTTCATTTCTTTTGTTTTTTAGATTCCATATATATGGGGCACCTGGATGGCTCATTTGGTAAAGCATGTGACTCTTGATCTCAGGGTCATGAGTTCAAGCCCCATGTTGGGTATAGAGATTACTTTTTTTAAAAAGTGAAATCATGATATTTGTCTTTCTCTGACTGACTTCACTTAGCGTAGTACCTTGTGGGTCCACTCATGTCGTCACACATACAAAATCTCACTCTTTTTCAGGCTGAGTAATATTCCAGTGTACGTGTGTGTGTGTGTGTGTGTGTGTACACCCTGTGTATTTATCCATGTATCTGTCAGTGGACACTTGGGTTGCTTCCATGTCTTGGCTACTGTAAATAATGCTGCAGTAAACATAGGGGTGCATAAATCTTTTTGAATTAATGTTTTCTTTTGGGGGGGTAAATACCATGCAGTGGAATTACTAGATCATTATGTTATTTCTATTTTTAATCTTATTGAGGACCCTCCGTACTGTTTTCTACGCTGGCTGCACCAGCTTACATTCCCACCAACAGTGCGTGAGGGTCCCTGTTTGTCCACATCCTTGCCAACACGGTGCTAACCATTCTTCCTGGTGTGAAAAGATTTCTCATTGTGGTTTTGATTTGCATTTCCCTGATGTTTAGTGTTGTGAAGCATCTTTTTATGTACCTGTTGGCCATATATGTCTTGTTTGGAAAATGTCCATTTAGGCCCTCTGCACATTTTCAAATATGATGATTTGGGGTTTTTTGGAATTGAGTTGTATGAGTTCTTTGTATATTTGAAGGGGGGGGGTATTTTGTTTGTTTAAGTTTATTTTGAGAGGGAGAGAAAGCAGGGGAGGGGCAGAGAGAGAGGGAGAATCCCAAGCAGGCTCCACACTGCCAGCATAGAGCCTGATGCAGGGCTCGAACCCACAAACCATGAGATCATGACCTGAGCCAAAATCAAGAATCAGATGCCCAACCAGCTGAGCCACCCAGGTGGCTTATCATTTGCAGATATATTCTTCAGTTCAGTAGGTTACCTTTTCATTGTATTGATAGTTTCCTTTGCTATGCAAAAGCTTTTAGTTTGATGTGGTCCCAGTAGTTTATTTTGGCTTTTGTTTCCCTTGCCTGGGGAGACATACCCAGAATAAAGTTGCTTAGGCTGATGCCAAGATATTATTACCTCTATGTTTTCTTCTAGGAGTTTTATGGTTTCAAGAAAACAGTTTTCTTCTGACCTCCATCCTAGCTGTTGGTGTCTGTTAGGTTAATTAACCAAAGGAGCATCAGAGAGAAAGGGACAGGAAGGATTAATCAGGGGTTAATTAGTTAGCTTTGTTTATTGTAGACCTAGTTGGAATTAGCCCTGAGGGATGATAAGGAGCAGAAACTCCTTTGCCAGATTACTTGATCCTCTCATTTTACACTCCCACTTGCCCATGAGCTCTTAGAGCAAGTTACCCCATGACCCCACGGGCTTGCATGTGTTTCTTATACCCCTGCCACCCTCCCCTCTCTCTAATGCCCACACACACAGAGTTTCTCTCTGGGTCTGCTTCTTGGTCTGTTTGTCCTTTTCTGTGGCTGACCCTACTATCTCTGACCCCTAGGCTCGGGACTGGAAGTGATAAGGCATGTGGAGAATGTCTGGAGCATTTCCTTATCCGTCAGGATGATCAGGAAACTGGAAAGCAAGAGGCAGCTAAATATACCCTTTTCCTGAACCTTATCCGGCCTCTGCTCTCACCCTTCCTAAAGATTTAGGTCTCTTGAATTTTTGTATATCCCATGTAGAAAAATGTGCCCTGACGGTCTCAAACCTCCCCTCTTCCTGCAGTGGTTGGCCAGAAAGAGCAGAGTAAGAGAACAGTGAACATTCGGACTCGAGACAACTGCCAGCTTGGAGAGCGGGACTTGACTGAGGCCGTGCAGCGGCTGCTGGAGCTGCAGAACACCAGGGTCCCAAACGCTGAGCGAGTGTTCTGAGCTTTCATATACAGTTGCGGCAGAGACTCGCGGGAGCTGCCAGCTTCCCTTCAGGTGGAAGAGCCCGAACTGACCACCAGAATCTGGAGGCCCCCAGGCCCCTCAGAACAAGTGTGGAGGCATGAGCTTGCTCTCCTGGAAAGAGACTTGATCTGGGGGAAGCTGTAGCTGTTTGGATGTGAGAGGAGTGAAGCAATAAAGAATAAACTTGAAGCTTCCGGGTATGTGTCTTCATCTCGGATTCCTGAGTAGGCATAAAAGGGAGTTTGACCCTGTCTCCATCTCTTTCATCCTGGGGTGCTGGGGAAGCAGAAAGAGGGCGGCCCTGGCCTCCCCCTGGGAGGGGCGCTCCTGGGGTAGCTGTTCTGTCCCCTACCCAGGATTCCTTAGTGCCTGGTTTCCCCAGCCCAGTTCAGCAGGTGTACTGCTCCACAGTAGGCAGCATGCAGACAGAGGAATTGAACCGAAAAGGCAGGTCTCAACATCTCTTACTCCATGAGTCTCAGAATCCATTTCTCTGGGGATCATAAGAATGCTCTCCTTCCCTCACCCCAGTTCTCCTCAGTCCTCTCAGAAGGCTTCAGGGTGAATTTGGGAGGAGTGGCTGCCAGGCCAGAGGAGGAGCAGCCGGGACTGAGTCATGGCAGGAAATAGGAGGGAGGGAGTGATCCCCAGATAGCTGAATAAAAGGAGAAGGAGCCAGCCCCAAGGTTCACAACAGCGGTAACAGCAACCGGAGAAGCAGGCTCCCAGCAGCCCAGCCCTTCAGATCCAGATCTACCCGAGACGACCCACCTCCTGGGTGCCACTGACCAGTCCTTGCCCCAGGATGGGGACCATGCACAGAGCAGCCTTGGTCTTGGCCTGTCTGGCTGTTGCTTCTGTAGCCTCCTCTGAGGGAGGTGAGTTGGGGTTGGAGGCAGCATTGGGCAGAGGCCCTGGCCAGTGTGGTGGGTCTAGCCATCCTCTGAATGGCTCATCACCAGAAGGGTGATTGTCCACTTGGCCTGGGTCCAAGGTGGGCCTGGGTACTGGAGCCGAGGCTTTAACCAGGGAGGGGAGCAGGTGCACAGAGGGAGAGTTTCCTAGAGCTTGCTGCCGGAAGACATAAAACTGGAATAAAATGGACAATTCAGTGGGTGGCTAGACTCTCAGAGTGAGGGGATCTGCCTCAGTAAGATGTATATATGGGGCCTGTCAGGCAGGGGAGAGAGAAAGAATGGGGCCCCCTGGCTACTCAAAACTGATTTGCTGACCCAGAGAGCCTGGACTGCTTCCCTGCCTGGTTAGGAGAGGAGTGGAGAGGGTGTCCGTCCACAGGGGACCAGACACACTCTATCTAGCACACACATAATCTGCTGGATGCTGGACAAAGTGCTAGCAAGGGAAACTGTTGAGTGCCACAGATCTGGTCTGTATCTGGAAGGCCCGTCTGTTCCTCCCAGGTGCTAGTCTTTGGTGACTGCACATCAGCTATAGGTGATACCTTTCCCTGCAGCTGTGGGGCAGTTTGCCTCAGGGGTTTTGAATCATCCCAGTCCCCAAGTCCTACACTGAAACCTAAGCGAAGGAGGATCTGGGACCAGCTGAAGGAGAGGCACTTAAACTTCAGTGTGGGCTTCTTATGAGAAGGCCCACAGATGTTTAAAGGGCCTAGAGGAGGTAAACAGATGAGACCCCAACTAGTTCAAAGTTGGGACTTGCTCCTGTAGAAAACTAGAGAAGCATCAGAGCTGAGAGGCTGAGAGGAGAACTCAGGAGCCCTGAGGAAGAGACACTGACAGATTAGGGTTTCCACCACCCCATTCCTCCCACCCCAGCCCCATGTCACATTCCCTTCAAGCCTGGACTCAGGAAACCCAAGGCTTTGAGCCTGGTGGAGGTGAGGTTGTCAGAATATCATGGCTTTCTCAGAACCCAATCAGTCACACCTAGGTGGGTTTGGGGAGGGGGGGGTGTGGATTGATTAGGGGACATGGGACAGGAGCAGTACGGAAAGGCTTCTGGTGTCTTGGTCATCTTGCCTACACCCTTGATGTCTACTGTCCCTGCATCTTGCGCTTGGGGCCAAGAAAGGGCTCCTCAGATCCACCCTGACTC